TGAACTTCTATCCTTGCCCCCCTTATTGTGTGTTAGATCCACATATCAGAGAGAACATTCAACCTTTTTTGGGGGGATTGGCTTATTTCACTTAGCATGATAGTCTGCAGTTCCATCCATTTACTGGCAAATCCATAATTTTATTCTTTCTTTATGCCTGAGTAATATTGCATTGTGTATATACACCACACATTTCATTATCCATTCATCTGTTGAAAGGCACCTAGTTTGGTTTCATAGGTTAGGTTCTGTGAATTGAGCTGCTAAAACATTGATGTGGCTATCATATGCTGGTTTTAAGTCCCTTGGGTATAGACCAAGGAGTGGGATAACTGCATCAAATGGTGGTTCCATTCCAAGTTTTCTAATTACTCTCCATTCTGCTTTCCAGACTGGTTACACCAATCAAATTAATATTCTAATTGAGAAAATCTACATGATTCTATCCATAGATGAAGAAAAATATTCAACAAAATTCAGCATTCATTTCCATATAAAAATGTTCAGTGAACTTGGAAAAGAAGGGAATTCCTACAACCTGATAAAATTCATCTATAAAAATCTCAGCACCAAGTCACACTTAATGGTGAAAGATTTGTTTCCCCCAAGATCAAGAATAAGGTAAAGATTTTCAGTTGTACTACCAGCATTTAACACATATTGGAAGGCCTTGCCATTGCGAAAAGTAATAAAAATATATAAAGATGTATATGTAAAAGAGTAAAAATTAAAAATGACCCTATTCGTAGAAGATGTAATTATGTAGAAAATCTCAAAGAATCTGCAAAAAAAATGTAGATTAAAATGTGAGTTTAACAAAGTTAAACTCAAACAATTGACTATGATACATAGTCAATTGAAACACAAAAAGTCTTCACATTTCTCTATATTAACAACATCCAATTATAAATCAAAAAAATATAAATAGACATTTATAATATCTCCAAAAAATAAAATACAAAGGTATAAAAAAGTCAAAAAATTTGAAGAATCCACCTGCTGAAAATCATAAACTGCTAATGAAAGAAATCAAGATATAAATAAGTCAAAAAATGTTCATTCATTCATTCATTGGAAAGTTCAATATAGTAAATATCTTCATTCTATCCATAATAACCTATAAAGTTGAGGAACATGATTCTAGTCAAAAATCTCAACAGAAATTTTTAAAAATACAGACAAACCTGTTTTAAAATTTATATATAAAGGCAAAGGAAGTAGAATAGTTAAACAAATTTTTTTAAAGTTACAATAATCACACTTTCCCAATTTATAAATTTCTATGAAACTACAGTAATCACTGTATTATTATTTAAGACATAAACACAATCATCAAAACAGAATGAAGGAACCCAAAATACACTCACACAAATATGGGCATTTGAATTTTGACAGGTAGAAAAATATTTCAGTGGAGCAATTATAGATTTTTCAAGAATATTGCAACAATTAGACATCCACATACAAAAAAAAATCCTTGATCTAAACCTTGCAACTTACAACACCCAAATAATAATAGATACAAATTTAAAGAGTCAATTAAAACATTTCTATGAGAAAACATAGGAGAAAATGTTCATGATCTGGTGATAAGCAAAGAGTACCTAGACTGTACCCAAAGTATGAACTATAAAACAAAAATTTAATAATTTGGACCTGTAGAAATCTTTAATAATTCTGCTCTGTGAAAAGCACTATTACAAGAATAGAGACAAACTTCAGATGTGCTAAATTATTTTCAATGCATTTTTCTGACAAAGCACTTATATCTCTAATATATAAAAAGTTCTCAAAACTCAACAATATTAAAAGGCATCCAATTGAAAAAATATGCATAAAACTTGAACAGACACCAGTAAGATTATATTGATGGCAAATAAGCACATGAAAAAAATGTTCAGCATCATTAGCTATTTGGGAAATTGAACCTTAAAACATAATGATGTACTCCCACAAATCTATTAGAATGATCAAAATAAACAACACCAATAATGCCAAGTGCAAGTGAGAATGTGGGCAACTGGAACACACAAGCTTTACTCTTGGCATCACAAAGTGATACAACCACTGTGTAAAACAAGATGTTGTGTTCTCATAAAATTTAATAATACATATTATATGACCAAGCGATCTCACTCCTGAGTACTTATAGATATGAAAATATAAGTTCACACAAAACCTATAAGTGAATATTTATAACAGCTTCATTTATTATCATTATTTTTTCATTTATTATTCTTTTTAGTTATGATACAACACCAGGATACACCTTGACATGATCACAAAAGCACATAATCCAACTGGTTCTGATTCAGTCTCAAGCACTTCATTCTCATATCCCTCTCCCCCTTGACCCCCACTCCACAGATCCCTCTTCAATTCATTTACAGTTTACTTTTTTTTTTTTTAGTCCTGTGGACACACCCCATGCTGGGACCCACCCTAGCAGCATTCATCCCACTGTTCTTCCCTTTTCTAGGTCCCCCTTCTTCCTGCCAATCCCCTTTGTCTGCTCTACTGATCTTTCCTCTAATTGGATGTAACTTTCTCTCCCCTCTTTTTTCCCCTGGCTCTCTCTTGTAACAACTTCACTCTTAAGAGTCAAAAGGTGAAATGACTTAAGTGTAAAGTTTAACAAGTGAACAGTCTATGATATACACAAAGGCCTTAAGCTGAGTAACAACAGCCAATGTCTTCAGGTACAAATTATATGATTCTGATTATATGACATTAAGGGAAGGGCAATACCACAGTGGAGAACAGATCAGTGTTTCCCAGGAGTTAGTGGTGGGGAAAGTAGGACTTGGATGTGATTTCTTTATTCTTGTCACTTGTTCTGTTAATTCATTTTCAGTATTCATGAATATTTCTATTCTTCTGAGAGCCTAGAGTTTTGGAATACAAGACAAAACAATAGATTGTCTATATTTTTCTTTTATTTCCTGCCGTGTGTTTCCTTCCCTAGGACAGTGAACATGGGTGGTCAGGCTAATTGTAAGAGGGACTACCAGCAGGAGGATGTAACCCTGTTAATGCTTATTTCCTGATGAACAAAGGGACATCTGGATAGCTTAACAACTTGCCCAAGTTCACACAGAGAATTGGAGGTCAAAGTGCATTCCCAAGTGAGTCCTAAGATTAATATCTTACTGAAATGATAAGAACTACCAGGAAAGCAGAGAACTTTTGCTGGGGTGAGCAAAGCAAGAAGACCACATTATGACTTGTGAACTCTAGGTACCTTTGCCTTTGGGACCCCTTTCCCCATATATAATATCAATCTTAAACTTTTTTTTTTTTTTTTTTTGCAGTATAACTGTGTGTATGCGTGTGCACATGAATGTGTTTGTTTGTTGGAGATGGAGCCTAGGACCTTGCAAATACCAGGCAAGTATTCTACCACTGAGCTACATCACCAGACCTCAATATAACTTTGACTACATTAACTTCTTTTCCTATTTTAGGAAAAAAATAATGGATTTACAAGGCTCTAGATTTTTTTCTTTTCTTTTCTTTCTTTTTTTTTTTGCTTATGGTTCATTTCCTGTAATTTTCTACTTACACGACCCTAAGAGAAGCAAGCATTAGGGAATGTCTCCTTCCTCACTCAGCATTGCTTCTCGTCTCCCATGCAAGCTCTGCAAGGTTCTCTGATCCACTCCTGGTGGTCCATGCTAGTTGCCAGTGGAATGTCATTGTCTTTTTTCAAACTTTGAAGATCTGAAGGATCAGTCTATGTGTTTACTCTTCAAGCTTTAAAAGTTTCTTTTTGTCCTGATTTTACAAGAAATTACTCTACATGGTATACTGGTGGACACGTGTTATACATTTGTACAAAACCTTGGAATGTACAACATCGAGAGTGAACCAAGTATAATCTATGGACCTTGGAGGATAGGATGTGTCGAGTTAGGTTCCTTAATTATAACAAATACATCACTCAGCTGGGGAATACTCACAATCAGGGAGGCTGGGCATGTATGGGAGAGGGGAGTATTATAGAAAATACCTACTGTCTCAGTTTTTCTGGGAACCTAAAAGTATTCGAAAGAGTAAAGCTTAATCATAGACAAGGACAATGCCTTGCTTCAAAGATAAGCTTCATTTCCTTACAGGTTTTTCTGTTCCCTTCCATACCATCTGCCAGAGAATAGTCAGACACAAACTTGTGGCCAGTGAGGACAGTCATCTACACACCTTACCCTTCACTCATGAGAGGAAGAACAATGGCTGTGATCCACAATCCCGTGATCTAGAAGACTGCCAGCAGAAATGAGGGCTTTCAGCACTTTCCCAAGGACTTCGTCTAAACATCACGGCCTCTTCCCTTTCTTCTTCCTTGACTATTTTGATAAAGGAGTCTATGCTTCACCACTGGCAGATGGTGTTACAGAGTTTCTGTGAGGTCATGAGGAAGCCTGCTAAATAGATTGTTCAGTATTTAGTATCTCACTGTTACAAAGATCATATTTGACAGGCTATTTAGCTAAAAACAAGGAAAAAGAAGACAATCTTGCAAAAGTAGCTGTTGAAATAAAATGTATTTAACTTGTCATGAACGGAACATTAATAAATGCATTTCTGTTCCTAAAAATAAGTAAAGCTTAATAAAAAAACTTTTGTGGTCTTCCACATGTATTAAGGGCTCTCAGTGATGTGCCTAACTGTGCCTAACAGATGCTCTGTCTGCAAAGCAGTCACTAGGAATTGAAAAAGTTCTTTAAATTTCTTAGAGGATAGGCATGATAGCAGCATCATGACAATGATGACACTTCTGACTTCAGACTTTCTTCAGGGAAAGGGTGAATACAGTTTCCACATTGTTAGACAAATGCATTTCAACTTATGGGTCTTCACACTTCCTTTTCAGTAAAATAACCCAAACTAGTTCCTTTCACCCATACCTAAATACCATCAGTATCACATGATGATTAAGAGAAAAAAAATAAGAAAGGGAACATATTTCACAGATTTTTTTCTTAAACTGTCAATCAATTATGCAGCTTCCTTCTCCATTGCTGCAGCTATCAGAAGAATCAATATTTCTGTTCCTTCCATGGAAATTCTACTCATCTCTGCCTCTTCTACAAAAGGTATTGTAGTCCATTATGATATATCTTTCCTTTCTGCTTGGGAGATGTGTCAGTCAGCTTTTCATTGCTGTTACCAAAACACCTGACCAGAACAACTTAGAGTAGGAAAACTTTATTTTGGCTCATGGTTTCAAAGGTTTAATCCATGGTTGGCAGGTTCCATCACTGTGGGCCTCAGGTGAGGCAGAACATCATGGTGGAGGATATCTGCTCAGCTCATTAATGCCAGGAGGCAGAGAGAGACAAAGAGAGAGGAGAAGGGGCCGGAGGCAGAATGTTTCGGTTTGGATATGAGATGTTCCCCCAAAAGCTTCTGTGTTGATGCAGGAATATTCAGAAGTAAAATGATTGGATTATGAGACCCATAATATAATCAGTCCATTCTAGTTTGAATGGACTGACTAGTGGTAACTGTGGGCATGTGGGGCATAGTTGGAGGAGGTAAGTAACTAGAGGCAGGCCCTGCAAAGTTTCATCTTCCCTGTGGCCCCTTCCTCTTTCTCTCTGTCTGTTTCCCAGTGGTAATGAGTTGAGCAGCTAAAATCCACCCTGCTGTTCTGCCTCACTGAGGCCCAGAGTGACAAAACCTGCCAGCTATAGACAGAACCTCAGAAACCATGCACCAAAATAGACTTTTTCAACTCTAAGTTGTTCTGGTCAGGTATTTTGGTCATGGTGGCAAAAAGCTAACTAATTCAGAAGGTATTTAAGTAGTTGCTGAATTTGAGTATTGCATTGAAGTCCTTTCTTTAGATTCAGATTGCTATAATCCCTTCCAGGGCCTCTCCCAGGTATCTTGATTTGAAAGACGTAAAATATGCAAGCATTAGGCATTGAAGAGCTAATGCATGCTGCCAGGACCTTCTGACAATCCTCAGTTTCTCTGAAATGATGTACTTCAAAGAACTTGTTAAGGATTCTGGAAGCAGACACTGAGTTAAGTCCCAATGTATTAGATCAAGTAGTTCATTAGAAAACACCAGGGCCATATAAAAGCAAGTTCCAAAATTTCCTTTCATCACAAAGTCCTTAGTAGAAGCCAGTGTGCTCAGGAAGAAATGCCTATACTTCCCCAATTCTAGGCTCTCAATGGGAATATATGTATTGATCTTACTCCTACCACTTCTTTACTCCAACTTCTTCAAGATTATCAGTGCAATAACATATTTAACCATGGCAACAAACTTCCCAATAAGTGTACTTTGTCAATGGCATTATTTGTTTCTTTTATATATTGCGTTGCTTTTCCTTAAAAAATTTCCTGTAAGTTAGGTATTGCTATTACCATTTAATAATGACCAAGTAAATTATGATTAGGCCAAAATGATTAGATATATTTTAAATGATCCTATTGGTTATAAGACCAACCATCTCTCTTCCTCTAGCCAGTCTACAGCATATGGGGTGGCAGTAGGGATAGAGGTCCCTGTGGGGAAGAACATTCCTAAAGTGGCTGAAGTGGCCCAAACTTGTATCACTTCACAAGTACTTTGTTCAAGGAAGGCACCCATGAAATGTTAGGGTCACTACTGTTGCTTAATATGTATATGAACTTTTGGTAATTTGCAAAATAAAAGACCAAGGAGAACGTGCTTTTAACTGCAAAAAAAAAAAAAAGGCTTAAAGTTTTGAGGAAGTAAAACAAGACATGAAAGATGATGTATTCAGAAGTTCATGATGCACATTCACTGGCCTTATATTTCCACACTCTCAGAGGAGGCTGTGGACACCTGAGCATCTCTGTTGTTTGTACTTCCTACACCGTCTTTCTAAGAATGTGGAAAGAAAGAAGAGGTACAACACTAACTTCACTCATCTTCGTTTGAAATTGTTGGGATATAGGAAGAGGGATGATATAATGCAGGTTTTATGTTTTTGTTTTGTTTTGTCTTAATGGAACTCTCCTGGTGTTTAGGACTTACTCCCTTCTGGGATTTCTGTATCTGGATATGACTGGCAGCAGGGAGAGAGGCAGGTAGTGGGGAAGACTCAGACAGATACTATCAAGGCACTGGAAGCACAATAGAGAATGTATTTTCAGTTTTTAGGATTTGGGAGTCACAGTTTCAATGCATGTTATAAACCTTCCCCCCATGATCCATTATGGTGTGTAATAAGTGAGTCTTAAAACTACCACATACCAGCAGGTTTCTGAGGCTCCAGTTTTGGCTTTTGACACCTATGTGAATATTTCCTGTCATTTCTGTGGGTCTGTCCCACAGCCTGGGAAAGTTCTTTTTAAAGTAAAGATCTATATAACAAAAGAGCACATTATCAAATTATCAAATATTTAAGTTAGGACCTGATAGTGGTGCTTAAGGCAGATGTATCAACTTGGTAGAATCACATAAGATTATACATCTCCATTTACTCATTTGCAGGGACAGTATCACTTATAATACTGATGACCAACCCTGTTGTGAAGATTCAGTGGGAGAATATATAAAGATAGCTTTACAGCCTGTAAAAGAGCTATACAATATTTACTCCTTATTCTTAACTATTTTTAAAATTGTCACTTCAAAGACAAAGGTAAAGTTTCCAGAATCACCAGGACATTATTTCATGACTCTGCCATTTGGAAAACCAGGACAGAAGGAAGCCAAGGAAGAAAGCTTTCTTTCCTCCTAGACAGAGAGGAAATGGAGGTTCTTCCAAGTGTAAAATAGCAGCTCTTGGCAGAAGGCTTCCCCATACACCTCAACTCTCTACCCTTGATCATAGGTTTTACAGGCACAGACTAGTTGACAAAGAGCAATGTTTGGCTAACATTTTAACTTTTCATTTCTATTCATAGGGTCATTAGTATCTTCATCTTAGATGCATTTTGTCACTTATCTGCATCAGAAATTAATAACTGTCCATCTGGCATGAGGTGGGAGAGGATAGGGAATTGAAGGAAACCAGTTTGCTGAAGAAGATGATCACTAAATTTCATTTAGAAGACTGCACACCAGATTTCTCTGCTAGAAAAGTGACCAATATGATTCAGCCTTAAATAAAGCCATTTCTCATTATCCCCCCTCTTGATATGAAGGTGGTAGGTTTGAGACACAGAGGTAGAAGTCAAATGGTCCCAATCTTGGGCCATCAGTTCAAGACAAATATGAATAAGATGTGACCAATATGATTCCACAATATGTACACTCAGAAAAATGAGAAATTATATCCCATTAGTGTTTTTTTTTTAAATAATTAATTATTATAGACACTAGTTTTAGAGCAGAAAGTTCCCATATATCCTCTTCCTCCTCCTATGTAAAGAAACATGGAAGTTCCTCAGAAAACTGAAAATGGAACCACCATTTGACCCAGCTATCCCACTCCTTGGTTTTATAGGCAAAAGACTTAAAATCACCATATTATAGGGATGCAGCCACATCAATATTTATAGCAGCTCAATTCACAATAGCTATACTATGGAACCAATCTAGGTGTCCCTCAATAGATGAATGGATAAAGAAAATGTGGTATATATACTCAATGGAATATTACTCAGCTTTAAAGAAGAGTGATGTTATGGTATTTGCCACTAAATGGTTGGAGTTGGAGAATATCATGCTAAGCAAAATAAGGCAATCCCACAAAACCAAAGCCCAAATGTTTTCTCTAATATATGGATGCTAATTCACAATAAGGAAGAGACACTAGGTAAGAATAGAGTTACCTTAGATTAGGTAGAGGGAAGTGATGGGACAGGCAGGGATATGGGAATAGGAAAGATAGTAGAATGAAACAGACATTGTTACAGTCTGTATATATGTGACTACATGACCAATATGATTCTGCAATATGTACACTCAGAAAAATGAGAAATTATATCCCATTGATGTATGATATATCAAAGTTCATAAATGCATTCTACTGTCATGTATAACTAATAAAATAAATTAAAAAATAAAAAAAGAATCAGACAGAATGTAGCCTTTATAGGTTGGCTTCTCTCACTTAGCAGTATGTATTCCTCCATGTCTTTTTATGCTTGGTAGCACAGAGAAAGGTTCTATTGTATGGATGTATCACATTTATTTACCCATTAACCTTTTGAAGGACATTTTGGTGGTTTCCATGTTTGGGTAATTATGAATAAAGCAGCTGAAAACATTTTGTGCAAGGTTCTGTATAGCCATGAATTTGCAACTCATTTGAGTAAATACCAAAGGACACAAATGCTGGATTGTATATTAACCTTCGTTTATCTTTTTAAGAAATTATCAAACTGTCTTCGAAATTCACTCTATCATTTTGTATTCCCATTGACAATAAAGTTTCTGTTGCTCCACATCCTTACCAGTATTTGATATTCTCTATGTTTTGAATTTAGCCATTCAAATAGAATCTCACTGTCATTTTAACTTGAAATTCCCTAACATATGATGCAGAACATCTTTCTTTATGCTTGTTTGCCATCCTTATCTCCTTTGGTGAGGTGTCTGTTCAGTTATTTTATCCATTTTAAGTGGATTATTTGTTTTCTTATTGTAGAGTTTTATCAAAGTTATACAATAACTTTGATACAAACTCTTTATGAGTTTAAAAAGTATTTTTCTCCAATGTAGCTTCTCCCTTCATCCTTTCTTTCAATTATAGTACCTTTTATAAAACAGACTTTTTAAAATTTGGTGAATTCTAATTTAATATTTTTAATGGATCATGCCTTTAGTGTTATTACCATGCTCTTTGCCTATATTACCTTCTAGATATTTTCAATGAGTTTTTTTATAGTATTATATTTTACATTTTGGCCTGCAATTCAATTTGAAAATTTTTTTATGTGTGTAAAAGATGGGCATACAGATCTTCCTCCTACTTCTTCTGCTCTTCCTCCTCCTTCTTCCTTATCCTCCACTTTCTCCTTCTTCCATCCGGGAACATCCACTTATTTAGCATCATTTGTTGAAAAGACTATCATTTCTCCATTACATCACATTTGCTATCTTGTCAAAGATCAGTTGATTACATTTGTGTGGTCTATTTCTGGGCTTTCTACTCTATTCCGCAGATCTACTTGTCTATTCTTTCACCAATACCACACTGTCTTAATTATTGTAGCTTCATAGTACCTCTTGACATTACAAAGGCTCAATACTCCAACTTTCTTCTTATTCAACATTATATTGTATATTCTAAGCCTTTTCAGATAAGCTTGTCAAAAAAATTTTATGCAAATTCAGGATATGCTCAACATAAGAATCTAAGGATTACTAATCAATATGAAAACATCTATTGCTACTTGTATATTTAAAAAAGCAATGTGGTGATCATTTAAAAATAAAACAGATTTGTCTTAACCTCAAATCATCTTTTCCACTATCCTTGTCTTCTCAGCCATGTTGCTAGGAAAAGTCTTTCTTGCTACTTGAAAGACCCAAGCTGGTTAAAGAATATCAGAAGTATTTTACAATTTGCATACTGTAGAATGTATGGTTGGCCCTATTATGGTTCTTGCATGTTTCTTAAGTGTTGTTGAAAATAGTATATTCTCTTTAAAGGCTACTAACTAGTAATAAAATAAAGACTTTTTTCTCCTACAAATTTGTCCTAAGGAATTTTGAGATATCACTTTCTTTAAAATTCTATGCTTGGGCATCTTTTTCTTCACTTGATATCTGTAAATTTTCAAGTAAAAACTCAAGATCCATTGTAGATTGATGGTGATTTGGTCAATATTAGAGAACAAACATATTATGTGGACTATCTGTATTAGAACCAAAAACATGATCAAATTCATGGAAAAGTTCATATACATAGTGGACTAAATCACTCTCCAAAATCTTCCAACATCTTCTACCCATTTTAAAAACCTTGTCTGCTATCATAGTACCCTGTCATAATTCACAGAACTGCCTCCTTCCTTTTCTCAGAGCACATCCTTAAAAATCTTATTTTGTTCTAAAGACATTTTATGAGCAACCCTTCATTAAGAAGCATGTTACGAATTTCTTTGTCTGCTCTTTAGGTGTTTCTCTTCTTCACAACTGTATAAATAGTGTTGATTGTTAAACTTCGTAATGTAAGGGTGGGTGTATTGACTAACTCCATACAATGTGATCTTTAAACAATGAACAGTGTAATAATATTTAATAGAAGTGAGCTCTACCAGCATGTTTTCAATGGAGCCCATCATATTTGGTCATGTTATTAGTGTTTTATATTGTATGATATTCTTAGCATTGAACCTTTGATGATAATCAACAGAATCACCAGAACTTTACACCCAAGGACACGTGCACGAGCACCGTGCACACACACATGCACTCATGCACACACACACACACACACACGCATACACAGAGTGAAAAATCAGATCTTCCCTCATCATTCCATCAAGGGAAACTCTTTGTGGTCCATTTTTCCTTATTTTTCTAAAGAATGTGAGTTCTGCCCAACGGGGAATTATTCTGTTTAGGAGTTACTCATCTCTTTCAGGAAAACTACCAGCCTTTCTATTTTGTTCTAGCTACAAGATGTGGTCACCAAAATAATTTAATGCCACCCTGCTAATTGCCAGGGCTAATAGAGAAACTACCACTACTCTTCAAACGGTTTTCATTTACATATTGATTTCTCACTTCCCACTTGGGAAAGGTATGTTTGGTTCTAAATGCTTTTGATCTAATGGTTCTGTAGACTGACCTACTTTCATTTTTCTTACTGCTGACATTTATTTTATTTTCTTTATTTAAGGGCAAAAAATAACAGAAAATGGTAATCAGCATGCATTTAGGTCATCGTAAGTGTCCCAGTTACATTTGCATTTTTCTGTTAAAAGTCTAATGCTGCCTTTGAATGATTTAAGATAGTTGGACAAGGCAAAATAACCCTTCTGTTTCATAAATCCAGAGTGAAAACAAAAAGAATACATAATCCACCTGCCTTGATTTGGGACCATGTAAATTACATCAGCGGCAGTCATAGAATTTGTCAGGCTACCAGAAATCATCCCTCAGGACCATAATCCAGGTAAGGCAGAGGGCTTCCATTTTCCCATAGCAGAAGAGGCTTTGCAGCACCCAGTGGTCAGAATCCTACCTTTTGATTACTGGGTTCAAAAGTGTGATCTCTGCTCCACTTAGGGGAAGTAATTCTGGAAGAATTCCAGAGCTCTATCTCTCTTACCATGGGGAATAACACTAGAATTGTGCTTCAAAGGTCATTTACTTATTTCAAGAACCAGAATGAAGTTGGTACAGACATGCAAAATGATTAAGTAGCAGAAAGGACACCATATTTAAGAAGGCAAAAGTGAGCCACATTCTTATGTTGTTTGTGACAGACAGAGGAAAACCACAGTGAGGAGTTTAGTAATGAAAAGGCTCTGGAGAGTGGTAGAAGTTCATCAGTGCCACCAGCGAGAGGGACCTTGTATTAATATCTCAGTAGTGGTTGTCTTTTACTCTTCAAAGGTTCAGAGCACAAATTTCTCAAACTGCAGTCTACTTTGTGCTAGTTGCTCAGAAGGCTAATACAGTACCTATTTCTGAGGTCAAATAAGTTTGGGGAATGCTGATTTAAAGAAAGTTTGCATACTTTTTTTGCTTTGTTTTTACTTTGCAGTTTCTGAGGTTTTAAGTAAGAAAATATGTGTTTTAAATATCCAGGTAAGGTCATGCATAGAAATAAGACATTAATATGGAATTTGTCACCATGCCACCCCTACCTCTGCCCCACATGGTGTTCCTTATCCTGCATTAGAAAGACTGAGAAGAAATCTTTTAAAGACATTTGTAAGATATCTAGAAATCATGAATTTATAATCTTCCAGCCTCCTCTGGCCTTCTGTCTCCTCTGTCTCTGACTCTGTCCCTCATATCCCCAGCTCCAGTCTTGCTGCTCTGCAATGTGTTCTCTTCATGCTGTGGTACTTTTATTTATTTATTTATTTTTTAAATTTATTTATTTTTAGTTCTCGGCGGACACAACATCTTTGTTGGTATGTGGTGCTGAGTATCGAACCCGGGCCGCACGCATGCCAGGCGAGCGCGCTACCGCTTGAGCCACATCCCCAGCCCGGCTGCTGTGGTACTTTTAAATCACTAGTCTGACTTGGCTCTCTCATGCTTATGACCCTCAGTGGCTCTTCATTGCCTCAGACAAAATGATAGAATACAAATTTCTTGACAAAACCCAGAAGGTAATTGACATTCTGCCTAAGTTTCCCTCTCCAGAACATGTCACCTTCCTCCCTTGCAGTGGTTGACACTCATAAAAACTATATACTCTTTTTCTCAACTCCAGACCTTTAAATATACAGCTCTTTCTCCAAGAAATCTTCCATTACTTTTTTGCCCACTCTCCTATCTTCCTAAAAATAACCTTTACCATTTCTGTGAAAGATATGTCAACAAAATGGAGACAGAGAATATATTTTGAGTCACATATAAGGATATTTAAACATATTATTTCTATCACAAAGACCTTGGAAATAACAGAATCCAATGGGAAAAAATTCAAATCTAATATAAATTCATTAAATGAATCTTCCAAATACTCATTATTGTCATATGGATTTATATCAAATGATTTGTCTTACTGTGTGATTTTTTTAATTAAGGCTAATTCTATAGACTCAATGTAAGTGGAAGACTTCAGCAATCATCTGATTATTTCAGGAAAAATAGTTATTTCTTGAAAACATCTAGTTAATGATGGCAAAATATTGGGTTTATTTGTTGCATTAAGTAATTGTCTTACTTTCTTTTCTTATTTAATATCTGTAGATATAGGATCATAGTTTTTCATAAAGCTCAAAAGTTTTCTATCTTAAATATGAGGACACCGAGGCACCCCATATCTGACTAATTGATGACCTATTTGGCAAGGCTTCTGAAATATTCAAGGCTTTTGACTGTGAGGTGAGTCAAGGGGGTTCATGTGTCTATAATGAAGGAGGCAAGGGAGGAGGCAGGCAGAATGAGAGAAGAGAGCCAGATATTAGCTAGTAAGTAGTATTGATTCAAAGGTTCAAAGTCAAAGCAATAAAACATGGGCTACTATGCTCTGCAGGAAAACACATATGCATGTAGAGATCCCAGAGTATATTGAAACAAGTCCTTGACAAAAACCGGTTCTGCATGTATAGGACATAAGTGTGGGGATTTATAGGAAATTTCAAGAACAGACAAATCCATAGAGATAAAAAATTAAGTTAGTGGTTGTCAGAGGAGGGGGAGGAGGAGGACTGGGAACTGATTGCTAACAGGGATTAACTTTTCATGTTTTTTTTTTTTTCCCCAGGGTTGGGGTAATAAAAATATTCTGGAATTTATCATGATAATTGCATAACTTTGTCAATATAAATATAAATATGACAGAATTGTACAGTTATAATGATGAATTTTATGGCTTGTGAATTACATCTCAATATAAAATAAAAAGGTATTGATTTAGGGAAGGGGGGGGGGAATGCTGGGGAGTGATACTGGCCAGATTATATTGTTATATTGTGTGGATGTATGAATATGTAACAACAAATTCCATCATTATGAACAACTATAATGCACCAATAAATATGTGTAAAAATGGAGAAAACTATGTTATATGCATTTATGAATGACAAATTATACTGCAATATCATGCATAGCTACAATGCACTAAAAACAAAAATAAATAAATAAATAACTATTGATGTAGAAGGTAGTAAGTTGTAAATAAATAATCTAAATGGTTACTGTTATTATAAACATTTTATAGTTTTGTACTGTAAAAGTGAAAACATTTGAATTAATACTAAAAATGAAAATGCTCTCTGGCAACAACTTTAGTAGTTACATTTCAGCAGGCTCTGTATTATTTGCTATAATATTATAATCTATTTTCAAGTTTGGATTTTTAAATTATATCTGGTCTTCAAAAATGGATACTGGAAGGAAAAGTTTGCACAAAACCTTATTATAACTGTTTTTTTTCACTCACAGATAGATATTAGCCAGTCCTCCTTATCCTAAACTTTTTCTCTTATCGTGCCTTTCAGCCATTGAGAATTGCTTATTTGAAAAGAAAAGGATTTTGTGCTATCTCCCTTAATTTTCTCTTCTCTTTGGAATAGTAAATTTTTAAAAATGGATTTTTTTTGCTACACAATGTTGAGCACACTCATTTCTGCTATGTTTCACAGCCGCATGAAATCTCCAGTCACTTACAAAAGACAAAGGGCCTTTGGCTGTGACTCTGTGTTAAGCATCCCTACTGTCACCAGGAAAAACTTAGCTCTCCTTATCCTTGAGAGTAACAACCTTTGGAGGGTGGAGCCACAAATAAGAATTCTATTACAATAACATTTTTTCTTTCATAACATGGCATTGAACTTAAAATACACAGAACAGGGAAGATGACAGTATTTGTGAAACTCAACAAATATTCTCATTGAGAGATCAAGGAATTAGGATAGCAAAACAAATAAAAGCAAGCAAAGAAAATCCAACAACAACACTGACTACATCCAAAACAAAACTAAGTGGCAAAGTGCGCTCTTGCACCCCTATCCCCTAAACCTACTGCAGAGCATCCTTTGTTGATCCTGGAGACCATGTAGCTGACTGGGGGCTGTAGCTCACGGCAGCTACAGCCTTCTGGGTTTGTGTTTGAAGTTTTCCACGATGTAAAAGTTTAAAATAATATAAAATATAGTAAAATACTTTAAGGAAAAAATGGAATATGAAAGAGAAATTAATAAATATCTTGTTTCTGAGTGCTGTAATAAGACTTGGCTTTATGTAAATTGCTGCTAAAGATATGCAATATATAAATTCACTAAAATGAGTAGTTGGAACACTCATTTATGAATAAGTGAAAATTCATTTATCCATTGTTTTACACAAATATTGCTGGTGTTTGCTTGGAGTCTGGAAAACTGGATTCTATTGTTTTATCTCCCCTGAATATCTATATAAACCTGGGTGAACTACCAACTGCTGTGTGCTATTAATATAACTGTGAGGAGTGGGGGGCTAGAAAACCATCAGACCTCTGGTTTAGAGAAAATAGTCTTATTTTTATTCCATCCCACTTAAAAAAAAAACCTGAAGGAAAACTAAGGAAAATTGAGTTAGCAACCAGTTAGTTGCACACTTCTTAAAAGCAGAAATTACAACAAACTTATTCAGTACTTTGTTCTCAGTTCATTTTTTATAATTAATTATGCAAACTTAAGGGATATGGTGTCATAATTTTATTCATGTATACAACGTGTAAAAATCAAATCAGGGTATTAACATTTCCCTTTCCTTAAACATTTAAGCAATTTTTAAAGGGTAATAATTGTACATATTTGTATGATACAGTGTGATATTTCAATACACGGATACAATATGTACTGATAAAATCAGGGTAATTAACATTCTCATCTCTTTATCATTTCTTTGTGTTTGGAGACTTCAAGCTCTTCTAGTTATTTATAAAATATATTATATTCCCAATTCTTATTACAATACTTGGTACCCTGAAAATGTGGAAGGATGATGGATAGGAGGATGGATGAAATAAATGAATGAATTTTATGTAAGCAAATTCGATGTATGTATAAGTTAATTTCAATATTGTCATTTTAGACTACAAATATTTATATCTAAGTTTTGGTAATTTGCAGGGGGTCTACAGTTCTATTTCTTTTCTGTCTAGACTAGTGGTTTTTAAATGGAGCATACATAGAATTGCCTGGAAGTTTCCTTGATGGATTGCTGAACTCCATCCCCAATTCTTGAATTTCCTTTTCAAACAAGCTCCCAGTTTGTCCTTAATGCTGTTGATCTGAGGAACAAAGTTTAAATTGTATTAATAAAGCCAGATATTCTCACAAACCATTCCATTAAAATTATTGGGAAACTTTTAAAATATTAAGATTTCTGTAACTCCTCTTACACCTGCATCACAATTTCTGAAGATGAATCTCAGAAATGTACATTTTAAGAAACTCCTTGAGTTATTTTTAGGTACACACAATAAAGTTCGAGAATACCTGGATTAGTTGCTGTCCAATAGAACTCTGCAGTAATGGATGTGGCCCATATTTGCATGGTCTACCGTGGAAGCAATTAGCCACAGTGACTATGAAGACATGAAATGAAGTGGCTATTGTGACTGGGGAACTGAATTTTAATTTTACTTTTATTTTATGTAACTTAAACATGGAAACTTTCATTTAAATTACCACTTGGTGCAAATGTTAGAAAAAGGCTTAGATTTTCAAACTTTTTTTTTTTGAAAGTAGAGTTTTCTTCAGTGGTAGCAGAAGGGGAGACCAAGAGTATGGTGTTCTTAGTATCCCACTCCCCAGTCAGAGAAACCCCTCTCTGATTTTTTGGGCTTTCAGTTGTTATATTTTTGGGGCTTTCAGTCCTGATAATTGAAGTCCATGTCCATTCTGAAATAGCCATAAATCTGTGAAAGAATCAAGTGCTCTGACACGTTTTCAAATGAATGGCTCATACTTAGCTTGACGAAGTTATTATTTGTCTGCCAAGCAGTCATAGTTTGAGTGTACCTTAATGTCATCTTCTCAATGGATTCCCAACATACTCACCAAGTTACTACCTCATTAATTGTCATAATGACTTCATAAACAGAAAAAAGGCTTTGGGTCATTATCCCCATTTCACTTGCAGGAATACTGACTTGAAGGAAGTAGGTGCTTGCCAAACCCTCCCCAAGCAACTCCCCAATGGAATGTTATTTTTCACATACTTGTCATTCTCCATGAATAAGTATTTAAGGTTCTTATACTTGAGGATACCTTGATGCTATTTTAAAAAGCAATTTGCAGGCTGGGATTGTTGCTCAGTGATAGAGTGCTTGCCTAGCATGTGTGAGGCACTGGGTTTGATCCTCAGTACCACATAAAAATGAAAAATAAAATAAAGGCATTATGTTTATCTACAACTCAAAAAAATAAAAATAAAAATAAAGCAATTTGCTCTCTGTAGCACCTAACTACCCAGAAGGATGGCACTTGGGCCCTGGAAGAAATGGGGCAAACCCAAACTAGACTCAGACATCTTAGAATTATAGGCTGTATTCCTAGGCCTCTGAGGTTTCATGGCACAGCCCATGGGCTACAAAAATAAATTATCATGGAGAGATGTCTGAACTAATTACATTTCTTTTTCTCCAAATCACAGTAGGAGTAGGAAGAATATTTTGGGGTGGAGTAAGAAACAGGAGATTGGAGATAGGGTAATAAGAATCTCTCTCCAAATGACAATTTTCAGGTCTTCCCCAGGTGATTTAGTTTTATAGCAAGATTTATGGGGCACCATCCTCAACTAGATAGATTGAGACAAGACCATAGGCCATGGCAAAATCAAAGGCATGAAATAGTAATTAGCTACAAGTAGCCCAAGGAGACTCTAAAATGCTGTCAAAGTCCAAAATTTGCAAATCCAGCTGTAACTTCACTTTGCTTTACACAATGTAATTTGAGTTACCTACACGAAGCCTAAAGGAATGTAAAGCAAACATGTCCTGGATGAGTTTACTCTGCTAGGAGGTGGGAAACCCATGCTGGCCCCTTAGTTTTCTCCAAACCATAGCTTTCTCTCCTTAAGAGGTGAGGTGAAGGGATTCTGGTGGATATAGAGGGGTGGAAAAGGAAGGAGAGGGAGTTGAGTGCATAAAATTGGGATGGCACTCGCTGTGTTTAAAATAGAGAATACCTCCAGAAAAGAGGCCCTGGGTAGACTTTATATACTCAATAGACTTTAAGTGCCTGAGGACACGGTACAAACTTGTATCACGTTACCAGACAGGCCCCCTCACGGCATCAGTGTCGGCAGAGGCTCATGAATATGTAAATATTATATGTATCTTGGAAACATGCTTGACAAGAGAATAGCTGAAATGAACTGATTCTAGTTATAAGCCCATCAGCCTGCCATTCTTTATGTTTGAACAGGCAGGCTATTGCTAGGTGACAGATCATTAAGGCTATCTACTCAGTCAGCGGAAATGAAGAAATAATTTGTTCCTAATAACCTTCAGATGACCTCCCAAGCAAAAGGGAGTCTTTAAAGTGCTGTCTCTGCCGATACATGTCAGGCGGGCGGGTGGGGTTCTTCTGGCCCCACAGTCAGAGCAGGGTGGCTGGTGAAACAGATTAATAAACACCTATTGACAGGGACATATCGGGGAAAGATCTCATCACCTGCCATTATCGAGCTGATGAATAATTCAGAGCTCTCCATCAGAGCTGGGAATTTCAGGCTGCACTGCGCTCTACACTGGCAGGGAGGAGGAAGCATGAAGGTGATGATTGCCAGGATTAAATGGGAGCCAGGGAGATAATGCTTCTGTTCCAGACTGTGGGGGCATCGGGAGGGGGTGGGAAGAGTGAGCATGAAGGAAGATTCGCTTCTTTCAGCAGTTACCAGCAGGTTGGGGAGCCAAGAAGCAGCTGGAAGCTCCTGTTCAAAGACTGCCAACTAGTTTGGCACCCACTGTGGCCCCCAGCAGTTATTTGTCCACCATCATCTTGGTGAGAGAGGTCTTGTTTCTTTGCAATGCTGATGGGTTCCAGAGGAACAGATAGGCCAATCTCGCTACAATTCTCTCACTCCTTGAGTACTTAATCTTGCTCCTATTTCTATTTTCTCTCCATCTGTGATGAGATATTTGCACTGCAGATGCAATCATTACATAACAGTTTGGGGTCAGGTGGGGTCCTATGGGGAAATCAGGATAATGGCTAAGCACCAACTGTGTGATCCTAACAATGCTATATGACCTGTCTGAGACACAGTTTCCCAACCTGGAAAATGGGCTCAGTCGTACCCAATTCAGATGGTTATTGTAAGGATTTAAAAGAATATCCACAGAAAGGTCCAGGCAGATAGCCTGGATCACACAATGCTCCCTTTATGCTGGAGATAAATGGCTGCTTCCACCTTCCTGTCTGCATTTTGACCAGAGACAAGGCAAGTAACAGACAGCATCTCCAAATGTGGCAATTCAAAAAGAGTTAAATAAAGGGATATTTCCATAGGTGCTGGGATGGTTTAGAAAGCCAATAAGGAATGGTGACATGCCTCCAGGATAGATAACAGCATGCCTCTCTTATCCCCTCTAGGCCTCAAGGGAAGATGTGCTGCCGAGCAGAAGTCTTTCACGGAAGTGTTGCCCAACCATGGCGACCTGGTAGGGAGGGAACACAGGGCAAGCGTCCCCACTGCTACTCTCTCCTCTTGCCCTCTAATCTCCTGCCAAGACTTCTCTTTGGTTGAACTAAATGGCAAGAGGTCTACTGATGGCCCTATGTAGATAAGCTCCTTCAGGAACAGAGCAAGGGAGAGAAAGGAGGGAATTAAATCTGGAGGGACAAGATGGGGAGATCTGACGCACCATCTGACTATCAGCACTTCTCCATCTCTGGTGCCTTTCCAGGTGTGTGTGGAATAAATTGAAAACAAAGAATGAAAGACATGGTGCATTCACTTTAGGAGCATATAGAGTAGCTGAGGTCAGTGGGAGAGGGAAGAGGGGGAAGGAGAGAAAACAAGAGAGAAAGCTACAAAAGAGAAAGAATTTGAATATTACAATAGGAAAATAACTGATTGTAGGAATAAAAAAATATGCTATCCATTAAATCATTGCACATTCTTTACTAAGTTACTTCTACACCTCTCTAGTTCCATCACCTATAAAATAAAAACTCCAGACTACCTGATGTCATGGACCTATCCTCGCCTGGACTCCATGACTTTAAGCATGGTAATAGGGCAACCCCACTGAGGCGAGGCTTTCCCCCCCTAGGCACCTGCAGTAGGTAATCTTATGGAAGACAAAGATTGTCATTCTTGAAACTCAGAGACACACAACATCTCTCCCTAAGTTCAAAATCAGTTTAGAGCTCAGCATAAATGATGTGAAATGTGCACATCCTGAAAACCTAACCATTCCATGTGTTCAATCCCAGTTGAACTTTACTACTTTGGTAGCAGGAAAATATGATGTCACACTTCTAAGAGATAATTTTGGAAAAACCTCTGGCTAAAAAGCTGCAAAAACTATAATTTTTTTGGAGAGTCAATCAAGTTTTATAAAACACTGTTTTAAAGAATCCTGTTAAGTGAATTGGAGATCAAGTGCCTTTTCAAAAGCAGTAGGTTTAAGACAGAAAGTGAAAGGAGACATTTGATAATTTGGGGGCTGAGAACAGGTAGAGAAGTGAGCAACAGAAGGAAGGAGACACCCGTGTTGGAGACAGACCAAGTACAGTAGACCCAAGTAGGATGCAATAGAAAGTCTGGATCGTCCACATTCCACCATCCAGATTATTCTTTTTCCTAAGTATTTTAAATACTTTTGGTGCTACTCTATTTAGTATTGCACCCTTAGTTACAAGGAATATAGCTTGCTGGAGAAAGAAGATTCCCAACAGCTCTCAGAAAGCCTTAAAGCACAATCTCTTCAGTCATTTGATTCCAGAATCAACATGAAACTCATTCATTCATTCATATTTTCAAGAAATATTTACTGAGAACCTGTTGGCTTTCAGGAAGTCTTCTGGAAATATATTCATGACCTACATAGATACCATGTTCAGGGAAGTCTCTAGTCATAAATGGTAAAGAAAAGCCAATCCTGACAAGGTTCACAGAAAGAACATCCCAGGCAGAGCAAGAAACAATTACAAATCCCCTGGAAACATGATCAGACTTGATGAATATGAGGAATATGAGGACAGGCCATGTGGCTGGAGGGTGGTGAGCCCGAGATTGTGGAGGGAAGAGGAGGGCAGACTATAGGGATTTGTGAAAGTACTAATTATCATATCTCCAGACTCCACATAAAGAAAGCAACATTGAAATGAAAAGTTCAAAGTCTTCTTAAGTTCAGCCTTCTCGTGTTAATTCTGCATCATAATTCAACAGATGGAAAGAATGATACAGGCACATTCAATCAAAGCCAGGTGCCTCAGGGATGCAGTTAGACCATAGTGTCACTTTTCAGGACTCAAAAGACATCATTTTTTTGTCACTTAATATAATTTCTTATAGTTTTGATAGGAAAATATGACCTTTTTTTTCTTTTTCTTTTTTTTTTAAACTAGCCTATTCTTTTTAGGCTCCACAATACATGGGCATTTCTAATTTCAAAAGCAATTAAACAGTCACAGCACCCAGCCCATTTGTGCATGAGGGACCTGGAAGGATACCTTGTTCAGCAATGAAGAAGGATCTCTAGCATGTAATTTCTGCTCACCTGGCCTTTGTCTCCTCTGTGTTCTATTTTCATACTTGGGTTGCAACTTGGAGAGAATACCAGAATATGTTTTCTGGGTCTTTTCTATTTCTCATGAGTTAATTTCCGCTATGTTCAAAAAAATTATAATTTCTTTTCTGAATATAGATAAGAGGAGAGCCAGGTCCCCTTAAGAACCCATCTGAGTATGGATGACTGTATGTATCTCTTGAGAGTATCCACTATCATTTCTGTCCCTGCCAGTGCTATGCAATCTTCTTTATGTGTCATGTTATATGAAAGCAGCTGTGTTCTCTTTTTGGTAAATCTTGCCTCTGAGTTTCCCCATGCTGTTGCAACATTTTTTTTTTTTCAGATACAAATTCATCTGTACAGTGAGTGTCCATAACTGTGTTGAGCAAGGCAGTTGCTCAAGGTAAATAGTTAAACATGAAAGCGATAAGCAAAGAACCTAAGTCAAAGAAAGCAGGGAGGGAAAAGAATAAAAGTGACAATGATTTATAAAGAATTTCAAAAAAGAAAGCAATGCTCTTGGTTCTTTTCTTCCCTAGTGACAACGCTATGTCATAAGCGTAAATGGCAAAGAGTTTCTTACATCAAGAGTGTGAAGATGTTTGATGCGAAGGAAAGTGACGTGGGGCACAGCCACAGGGAAAGTAGGTCCTAATTAGGGTGACCATATGTTCTGTTCTGCCAGAGAAAATCTTACTTTCCACCTGTTGTTCTGGAATGATTACTAACAAAGTTCTTCATTCATTTTCAAAAGTGTTCTTTTGGATGATAAAATTATGTGGTTTCCTTTGCTCTCCTGCTGCCTCTTCCTAAGCAGGTGTCTCTGGACAAATCCCTCCACTCCTGGACCAGTTTCTCAAGCATTTGGATATTACTGTAACTATCTGCATCTTAGCCTAGTATTCTATGGCTCCATGAAAACCAAGAGAAAGAGAGAAAAAAAAATCAAGAGTTTGGGAGGTTTTATGGAAAAATATGCTTTAAGTTAAGGGCTATCAATTATTTCTGAGTGGCGTGTTTACCTCCTTGTTTAGTATAGCTGCCTCTGGCTTAGCTAATAATGTTAGTTAATGATGATTAGAAAACTTATGCAAGTACTACACTAAAGATCTTGAATGCATGATCTTAATTTTCACCAAACTGTTCTGGTTTCTATTTTATATGAACCTATAGTTATTTCAAAGAATCCTTCAAACTTAACTCTAACTAACCATAAAATACCATTCTCTAAACTACCATATGATACCTAGGGTGGTCTGAGCAAAAAATAAATAAATAAAATAAACAAATAAGCAAGAAGTACTTAGTGAATTAAGCAGGATATTTTGCAGCAGCAAACAACTGACAGTCTTATGAGCTTGAACTATTTATTTCCTGGTCCGGTTGCATGCCCGTCAGGGTTACCTAGGGGTCAGTACTCGGTACTTTCCAGAACCCAGGCTGATGGAGTGGCCCCCATGTGGACTGGCACTCTGGAGCATTGGTGGAAACAATGTCAGATTGCACACTGGCTCTTAAACCTTCATTTCCAAAAGACCACTTCACTTCTGCTCACAGTTCATAGGCCAACTCAAGTCATGATCTGATAGTTAGTACCTTCACAAGATGACAGGAAGTAAAATCCTACAATAAGACCCAGAAAGAGAACAGGAACATTTGGTTAAAAAATATATAATTTCTAAGACAAAAAACCTGAAGTTCCTGTCACTATTTTTAAATTCTCTGAGTTCCAATTATTTTGCAGTGAAATTTCATAGAATTACATGTTCATTGATTATATTTATCTAATGCTTCATTAGGCTCTTTGTTAGCCATAGACTTACTAGCTTATCTCTGCTAAAA